CTTTTTTCTTAATCATTTCATTCCAAGCAAGGCGATAATGTCATTAGGACGTAAGGGGTTAAAGGGAGTGAAAGAGAATGAGAAGGCTTTAGTAGGGAGAAGTTCAGAGAAACGACAATAAAAGAACAGGGTTCAGGAAGACAAGATGGCAACTAGCGTTGCATTTAAATTGCATTCTATGTGGCAGGGAATCAAGTAACCGGATGTGCATTCCAGAGGCAAAAAGTTCGAGAAAAGAAACTATTAGAATAAACATACTGTTTCATCTAGCTAGTTCAACAGTAAATTAGTGAGACCTAATTGCCAATCTAGCAGTACGATTAAATTCATACAGTCGAAGTACCAAGTAGGAAACAAATATTTATTTTGCAAAGATACAAAAACGTGGCACAAACACACCACAGTATTTCTTACACCAAAACAACATATACTTACATACCATTCTTAATACATCCATCATAATACCTCAAAGTCTTTATGAAGTCCTAACTGGCCTCCATATATACAATTTTTCTCTCAATAAAAACGAAAATTTAAAAAAAATCTAAACCCAATATGTATTTACAATGTAATTTTAATATATAAGAGGAAACTTCATAAAAAAATTACCATAAAAATATTTATAGAACAGACAGGGGGAAGACACGCCACATCGGTTGGAAAGTGACTGAAATCGAGATGCTAGGTCAGGATCGATTATATGGCAAATTCTTATAATAATATTGATATAGGTTTTTTTTTATATAACTTTGTTATAATTCACTAGAACTGATTTTTTGAAACGAATATGCATCATCATGTCTCGACTTCTTTGATGTGTTTAGCCTTACATTTACCAAGAAGTTAGTACTATTCACAGAAGTCTGTGGAAAACGATGACATTCTTAAAAATGTGATTGTACAGAAGGATCCTGAGAATACCATGGATTGAACATGTGAGCAACGATGAAGTTTTAGAGAAGATGGGAAAAAAAAGGACTCTTATACTTAATAACAGAAAGGGACAGTTTCGAATTTCTTGGGCACATAATTAATAAAGAGGGTTTGGAACATTGAAAGTAAGAGGGGCAGAAGAAAGCAGCGCATCAGTTAAGTAACGAGCTTGCGCAGATGGTTGGCAAAATGGGGAACATAAAACAGACTTTACTCAGAGCTATAAAAGAAAGGAAATTGTGGAGAGCCCTGGTCGCTGGAGGGACATGGCACATAGAAGAAAAAGAAGAATTTTTCCGCTTGTACAGCCTAAAACACACACACACACACATACGTACACACACATACACACTCGCTCTCTGTCGCTGTCTTTTACAATAAGTTATCTTTAGTTAAAAGAATAAATGTTAATTTTCTACTGTCGTGAACGGGTGGAAATGTTAGCTTGTAGACTATGTAAAAATTATTTTAAAAAAATGGACTGTGATATTAATAGAGTTAGCATCGAGGCCAGACACACGATAAACAAGGTCGGCCATATTCTTTTTGAAAAATTATACAAGATAAACAAAGATAAACTTTTAAAATAGAAATGTCTATAAAGGCAAAATTAATTTGATTTGTCCCGAAAAAGATGAAGTTATTGCAAAAGAAATCGATAATCATCTTCGATTAGACTTTGCCTGATGGCTATCTCTTCTCCCTGTAAAGCATCTCTCACCCTCTCTCAATGATCGTGTCAACATCTGATCACGTGATCGCATCATGTGGCCTGTAATTTTGGTCCGACTAAAAGAGAATCGCGTCAATAACAATTTGGAATTCTTTAATTTTTCGAAATTTAATGAAATATATAATTCATAATTTCATTTGACAACTTAAAAAATGGAAGTAACTTTAAAGAAACAATTTTATAGCTCTTATAAATATTTAATTAACAAACAAGTTAAATCAATTTTGTTATTATTTCTCTGTCGGTTTTATATTATGTAAAATATACCGCAAATTATCTAATGAACCAATCAGACTAATATCCCGTGGATTTAATCACTAAGCGTCGATCAATTTCCACTCGAGATGACTTTTCAAGTGTGAACTAAAGTTTTATGTGAAACATTATCATCATCCAATGTAACAATGTGACAACTATCTTTCCCTTGGTTGCTTCTCTGACTTGGTTTGGAATAAAAATAAAAAAAGATCGGAGCGTTTTTCACTGGAAATGGTAAAATTAGCCGTTTCATTATAAGGAGACATTCTTCATTTATTGACCAAGCAGCCAGTGTTACTTTTGGTTGCAATTTAATTTTTTCTAAGAAAAATTTTTTTTAGGAACATAGGTTTCTCGAATGCAGTGTTATTGCTCTTTCCAGAATTGATGTGTTTTTCTTCCTAACCTGTTGTTTCAACATCTTGATTGTATTGTTATTTTCTCTTCGAGTTACATGTGCTAATTATTTTAGTTGAAAGTCCTTAAATCATGTGGTATCTGTTATTTGTTTGTGATTCTGTAGCACCAGTCCATGATGTTTGAAAAAGGACTTTCCTCGCTAAAATCTACATTCGTTCAAAGCCATCTTCTCTTTAACACTGATCTGAGAAAGCGGTTGTATACAGTTGACGCTTTAGTATTTCTGAACGAGTTTGATACCATGCAAGGTATCCATATGAAAGTCACGATTTGATTAGGCTATTCAAGGTCATGACTCGAGATTTTAGGTTAATGTTTTAGTTTTATAGTAATTTGTCGTGTTGAGTTAAACTACCCCAAGTGCAGCTCATTCTTGGGTCGTTTATTTCCTATATTAGATTTGTTATAATGTATCCAAACATCGAGATATTTGAATGTTTAGTATTTACTAATTCCACATCAAAAATTTTGTAATGGATTCAGAGTATGTGACATTACTGCTCTAATTATGAGTCATATTTCTTAGAGGATGTTGATTTTTATTCAGCATTATTGTTATCCCATCTATGACTACCTATATCAACGTTATTGTCCTACTGATCATTAATATATTGGCCTCGAGATGAAACAGGAACTCTGTTTTCTATCAGTAGATTCGTTTTGGATAGCGTTTAAACACATGATTTCATCTTATACGTGATTGAAAATTATGACATATATACATACATTCAGCGACTCTTTCAATACGACTTGTTTTGGAATTGTGAATGTCTAATGTTTTTACAATGAAACTGAAAATGGTGGAATATGTCTTTTTGTTTTGGTTGATTTCGTTTAGTGGCATATCAACCTCTATGGTTTATTTAATGCCGAAATCTGATTTAACGCTGATTAAAAATAATCTCGGCCACACAACACGGTCTATCCTAGAGATAATCCCCATATCTCAGATGAGCATGGTAAGGTATCCGAAAACACTTGAATACGCGGTGATATTTGGGCGTCTCTTGATTTAATGGAAAGAGGTTGTAAACCTTATTTCCATCTGCAATCCTCTGCTCAAACGCAATTACATGAGACATTTTTGAAACGAACGATCACAGGCAATGAAAAATAGATCGTTTAATACAGTGCTACTCAAAGTGTGATACGTGTACCGGTACCGGTACGCGAGCCTTCGTCTACCGGTACGTGGAGAGTTTCAAGGAAACAAAGAAACAGTAATCCCATTCCACGTCACGGGAGACTGTCCGGATATCTGACTCAGTTTTTTTTTTAAACATTTTCATTTTAGTTTTATATTGATGATCGTTACACACTCACTCATGGTTATAATTACTCACTCATATGAAAGGTCATTGCTATACAACTAACGAATGCGGTATAATGAACAGCAAAACAGTGAACTAAAATACATATGACAACACCATCTTGATGATGTGGCGTGTGACTGTGTGGGAACCATGCCTAGGAACATCAAAAGCCCATTTTCATGGATATATATTTCTACAAAATCAAAATAAAATAAAGACTGATGCAACTTTTATTATATTCAATATATTTTTCTGGTATAAATGAATTGTTATATAGGAATAAAGTGTCGCTGCCGACACTTGAGTTTGAACATAGAACTCCATTTAGTAAACACAAGCGATCCCATTATTGAATTAAGTGGATCACGTGACCATAGAGGAAACGCATATACAGGAAGTCGTGTGATGTCTAATTGATCGCTATTTCTACTCTATTACTATACGGATCACCATTTCTACTCTATCCTCTATTATTATATGGACGCTATTCTCTACTCTATTCACTCTCCTATTTCTTTTTTCAGATCACTATACGGTGGTTACTATTCGAGCGAGCATTATCGAGCAAATACTATTAGTGCGAGTGCTATTCGAAGACGTTTGACACCAGCATTGTTCAACGGCGTGCTATAAGTTGTATCTGCGATTACAAAGTCTTAGCTACAATGGGCATTACGAAAGTGACAAAGAGTATTCGTTGGCATCACAAAAATGGCAAGGATTGTTCATTGACATCAAAAAATGAATAATACTACGAATGTTGAAATAATATTTTCTTGGATCATTATTATATGACATAAAAATGCGAACACTTGTTACGTCAATAAGGACTGGCCTGAGAATAAATACGACATCATGGCCTCGTGTTTAGTACAGATAGTCTTAAAATGACTCTGAAATAAGATATATCTAAAAAAAAAGAAAAGAAAAAACTAGTAGGAGCCCATCTAATTGGAAAGCTTCACACACCGGTCCCTAAATAAAAAAAATTAAAATAAAAATAAAAATTAAAAATTAAAAAAAATTAAAAAATCGCCGGTACACCATATCAGATAGTTTGAAAAGCACCTGTTTAAGACAAATTGGAGCGAAAAAGATTCTGAAGAAAACGAAAAATATTTCTTAATTGTAAGAATTATTTTTTGAGATAATAATGATTTACTGACACAATGCCTACTAAATAACCCATAATTGGGGGTAGAAGAGATGGATTCATACTTTTCCCAAGGGTATTTGTGCGTAAGTGAATATAATGAACACAACTGGAAATGGAACTCGGCTCTCCGATTTCCAAATTTGAGCCGCTATTCATTTCACCACCCGCATATCTAAGCTTACAGGGTCTGGTATTCCCAAACGGTCACCCATCTAGGTATTAATCTGAGTCGACGTTGCTTAACTTCGGTGATCGTACGAGAGCCGGTGTTTCAACGTAATATGGCCATAAGAGCCGTATCTCAGTGTTGAAGTTGTAAAGAAACCGTTTACATTTCTTGTTAAGGTTCCATCATTTCGACTGGCTTCGTCATTATCAAGAGAAAAAGAAAGAAAGAAAAAGATGAAAGTCCCTGTGGTAGTATGCATCTTTGGGAATGAATTTGGATTGTTTTGCTGTTACGTGGGCGTGATATTATTTTTTTGAGTTTTGGAACTCTGTCGTGTCGCATCACCGTGACGCTCTGTGGATTCAGAGAATTTAAATGCATTTTAGAATGCTTATTCCAGAGTCATAAATGATTTTGTTAACTGTTGGTTGTTTTGACTTGACATGGATAGCTTTTAAAATGTGTACTTTTTACAGTTTATTTTGCTGTGTTATTCACAAGGTGCTATCTCATTGTAATTTTTATGTTTCTGTAACATGTATAATATTTTGGTCGAAATTATGAGATGTGAGCCAACGCGATACAGTCGTGAGTGTATATCCTATATAAAATACATATCTGTTATTTTCAGAGAAACTATCACTAATGACACAAGTAAATTTGCAAACAACATTGGTCTTATATAGGGGTTTGTTTTTAATTTAGTATTATTAGTAGCTGCTATGTTAAGTGTTTTGAATTTTTAATAACAAGAAAAGAATCGTAGTGCATTTTGTTATAAATACATAGTTTATAGATTGTATTTTTAATGCGTGCATTAATATATATATATATGAAAACGCAGTCTAAAACAGTCTCGCCACACGCATTATTCGACACACTACATCACCACAAACGTACACGTTTTTAAACACATACATGCATGTCATATACATACGAGCCTACACATGGACGTATATACGCACACACACACTCATATACCGACATATACATTCAAACACACCTCTAAATAGACAAACATATTTATAATACACATATTCATATATATATATATATATATATATATATATGCGTGTGTGTACGTGTATATATATATATAAGAACACAAACATATACATTCAAGACTACATTATACACTTCTCACATGTGAACGCACAAAGATCCCTTATATCTATAAAATGAGCAACCTACACATTCGGGGTGGCATCAAAAAGGCTGTTGGAGCATAACGAAAATAGAGTATTTGTTGTTCTTACCATGAAGCCAGTATGGAGCACTCAGTGACCGCTTCAGATATGTCGGCTGGAAACTATGGAAAACAGTGGCCATCAATATCGGGGGATGAGTGTGCCATTAGCAGAGAAAAACAGTTCCGTTTTTCTCACTTGAAAAAATGCACACGGGTAAAAATAACAGAAGAAAACTATTTAGAATAAATAAGCAAATAACTGAGTAAAAACGTCGGAAGTACTAAAACATCTGGTATGGAGTTTGTGCCAATCGCTTGGTCGTTAAAATATAAGGAAACCTCGTTCGAACAAGATGATTTCCACTGAAATTGACGCTATTCCTTCAATTTAGTTTAGTATGGCAAGGGGTTTCAATGGTAGAGCACTCTTTGACGATCGAACTTTCTACATTTGTAAACTTCTGCGGGTTAAGTCTCTTTACCCTCATTTAGAATCTTTAAACACCCCCAGAAATGTTTAAAAATATCTAGGAAGTGTCAAGTCAAATTTTCATCATTAGTCAAGCAGATTTCTCAACACCTGTGTCAACTAACTGCAAGGAGTTTCTAGCTTTAGTCACAATATTTGTGTGAATTACTAGCGCATGGTCATAAATTAAAAACTGAAATAATTGATGTTAGAAATGAATGTGAGAATGTTTACTTCGTTATGGTGTAATGGTTAGCTGTTTGTCTTGTTACATCAATGGCGACGGAGTAGTGAGTTCGATCCTCACTGGGTGCTTCATGTTTTTGTGCCGCATCTAAACTTCGCTAGTTCACGATATGTAGGCAAAAATCAGAGTAACCTTCTTGTTCATTGGTTGGAATTCGAATAAAGTTCAAGAGAAGTGACACTGATCATACCTTATTTTAAAAGATCCTAATGAAATGAAAAAAAATCCTAATGAAACCTACTTTTTTTTAAATATTCAAATTCATTTTTTTAATGATGATCATTTTGATATTTTTCAAAATAAAACTTTTTGTCACTGTCTATTTTATTTATCAAATAAAAAATCTAGAGGGAACATACAAGACAAGATATAACAAGAAAATTAAGATCTCAGTGATATACGTGGTCTGTCTGGAAAGTGACAGAACTGGTGTCACAAACAAATTATTTGGATTTAAAAAAAAAAAAAAAAACTGCACGATTTTCCCTTCAAAGTCTAATCCCCCGAGTCTAATACACATTTCAATCCTTCTCTGTCACGATTTTATGCTCTGCTGGAAGCATTCTTCTTGGATTACCTTCAGTTGTATCTTTACGGCTTTCTTAATGGCTTCCACGCCTTCAAAAGGGGTCCCAGTGATGACTCTTTTTAAACTTGGGGAAAAGAAAAAATTCACATGGAAAAAGATCAGGTGAATAGGGAGGTTATTCTTGTACGGTGAGGTTCTTCTCGGCCAGGGTATGCCAGATGCTCAGAGCGTTGTGAGCACGTGCATTTTCGTGGTGAAGCAGCAACAATTTGCCATTCCACGAAAGTATATGAAAAAAAAAATGCAGTGCCTTCAGAAAACTAAGATTACAGTTAAATACTCCTAAGATAACATGTTAGATGATAACACACTCCGTTATCCCTCTTTCGCCCATAGCTGACACAGCTCACCTAGTCCTGTTACTTTTCAAAGACACTTCGTATTTAAAATATACTAGATTTTTTTTTGCAACACGTTGACGCGTGTTGGAATCCTCACAGTATTTAGTATTGTTGAAGTTATCGCTAACATTTTGTTGTCGAGATTTACAGACTCAACGTTTCGTTCAATTTTGCAAACCAATTGATGATATTTGAATAAGCTTATCTTTGGAAAATTACTTTGACAAAAACCCTAATAATATCTTTAATTTAATTTAATTTTATAGGAGTTAATTTTTTAAGAACATTTCTTTTTTTTCCCTTTTTTCTTTTTAACAGCGTATAATAAATTCTTAGCATTTCTTACTTTTGAGCATGCAACATACAACTGGCCATACGATTCGTTTATAGTTCTCGCATACGCAGGGTGAACGGGAAACTGGATTTTTGTATACAAAAACTTAAGGGAAAGATATTCAAAAAACAATATTGGATTTTTATTAACTAAGTATTTTTTTATTTTAATCATTAAATTGTTTTTAGAATAGTGGGTGTATTTTTTACGTTAAATGATAAAATTTTTGATTTTTCTAAAAATAATGAAAATTTATTGTACTAAACTTCGCACTCTAGTAAAACCAACTGTACTTTGTATCCCTTTATCTGTTTGAACCTCTCCCCAAAATGTGGTTTCGATCGCTCAATGTATGGCTACTTTAGAAGGTGGGGTAGATAGATAGATGGACTAACGGAAGTTACAGAATTTTATATATAGATTAAATGGAAATTTTGAAAACTCAACTGTCTTAATGCTATGGCAACCCTTCAGAATACTAACGGTGAGTTCAACACTGTGCTGAGGTAGGCATTTATAGCTGCTTAAATAATACAATTCGCTAGTACGAACGCCCATTAGACTGGCGACAGAAGCATTTCAAAAGCTAATCAAGGTACTGAAAAACGAAATAAATCTACCAGGACTTATCGTGGAGGTGCGTAATCTTAACGATATAAAATACGCAAATGAGACAGTGTTGATTGCAGACACAGAAAGAAAATTACATAACCTCCTAGACAATGTTGTAAAAGAAAGTGAAAAGAAAATGTACTCGCCATCAACTGTAAGAAGACAAAGGTTATTGTTAGGTTGTCAACAAGGGAAAAAGTTCAAGATGCGAACTACGGATTAGATGTATGACCATCAAACAAGTACAGAAGTTTAAATATCTGGGAAGTGTTTTAACAGAAGGAATATGCGACACCGAAATCCGAAAGCGTATTGGATTAGCAAAATATGCATTTTAAAAGCTAAACAAAGCACAAAGAAACAGAAAATGTTCGTTAGAAACAAAGAAAGGTGTGCTGTATGATATTCATCCTATTATAAGGCAATGAATACAGGACAATCTTCCAAACTAGATGCAGCAGAAATGTGGTTCTACAGAAGGATTCTGAATATTTCATGGACGGAGCGAGTGAGCACCAAGGAAGTTTTTTTTTTTTTTAAATGGCAACAGAAAGAACACTTCTACTCAGAATCAGAGAGAGATCACTGAAATGCCTTGGACGCATAATGTGGAAGGAGGGATTAGAAACCCTTGCGGGACATACTGAGGTCAAGAGAGAGAGAGAGAGAGAAAGAGAGAGGGAGAGAGAGGGAGGGAGAGAGGGAGAGAGAGAGAGAGAGAGAGAGAGAGAGAGAGAGAGAGAGAGGGGAAAACAATGAACCACTTACTTGACGCGATTGTGTGAATGGATGACGAAACGGGGGCGGCAGTCTTAGCAAAGGAAGATGAACCGCTAAGAGCCACGCGTGATAGGAAGTTGTAGTGAACCATGATCCTTTATATTCTGAAGAGATGTAGCATATATATGAAGAAGATTCTTAATGTAGGCAATAACGCCCCCTTCGTAGATGGCGTTATGAACCCTCAAGTAGGTAGTAGGGGTTCAGGTGTGTTATGGAGGAGGCTAAGAGAACAATGAGTTGATTGGATTCTTTGAATCCTGATTGGAACAAATTACAACAATTTATATATATTTTTTGCATATATATTTCCATTTTTAGAGGTATTTTTTACCTATAATGGGGAAGTAGTAACTACTAAGCTCTTCAAATAAATCGGTGTATGGATAAATAAATAAAAGTATTGGAGATAAGGAAAATAAACATAGAATAGGTTGCACTTGAGGTAGTTTCCCCCAATACCGCAAGTTGCTACAAAAACAAAACACGAACCTCGCGTAATTTTGTTAATAGTCTCGCCATTTCGAGACTTTTATATGGATGTCATACATGGCGCCCAA